CTACATGGGAGAAGATTTCCTATTTCTATTAAGTCACATGGATCACACCTTGGGATAAGTCTCAAAATTTTCTTATCGTCTGGTCTTTTTTTTCCTTTCATCAGTACCTTTAGGTCTAAGAATGGCAGCTATACTTCTTTTCTCACCAGCTTTTCATATGCAGCTGCACTGTATCGTTCTAAAAATTAATTTTTGTGCCAACCAATTTTAAAGTAATTCATTCTTTGTATTACATTCATTAGCCTATAAATCTATCAGCGCACACACTCACATACACATAAAACCTACCACCTGGGGCTCATTTTTAACCTGCACATTAAAAGTCATTTTTGCTTTATGCATTCACATTGTGTGATATTACCTTCGTTTCCACCACTTTAAACAATCGGTACCTCCTAAAATTTTTCTGTCAAAAAACTACTCTGCCCCTCATGCCTAAAATAGCATCACAAAGTATGCTGCTTACCAAAATTTGAATCTCTGGCAGGGACAAATGTTTAATTAACGCTGTGTTTAATTGAATATGAAAGCCTTTTTTTTCTCTTCTGGGGTGACTGTGCTCTCTGTACTACAGCACTCTTAACAAGTTTGAGGGTTTCTTATCTTTCCCATGTTCTTTCTTGAGATTTATTTTGGTGATTGGCATTAGCAGATGAAGAATTCTGCCAACTTTATATCATCAAATCGAGACCTCCCTTCCACTACTAGTATCTGAAAATATCCTCTAAATCTTTATTCCTATCTCAGTGTACATGTATTCATTGAGATTCGCCTGCTTCCAATTTTTTCTGTTAGTTTAAGTAATTGTTCTAGTGCACCAGGATTCCAAAAAATCTTTCACTTGTTGCAACAACCTGGACCAAAACTAATTCGGGTAACAATATTATCCGCATTAGTTCCCCTCCCTCAATGTGACAGGTTTACTTACCTGAACTTTCCTTAAAGTAAAGTCTGTCAGTTCCTCTGTCTTAATCTGATATTTACCAAAAAGTTTGTAATTTTTGCTGCCTGGTTCATGTAATAAGAATTTCCCAGTGCCATGATACATGCTCAGATCGTGTCCTTGAAGAACAGCAGTTTCTGTGGTTGCCTTCTGCAACAGTGTATACTAAATGCTTCGAGTTGTTCCAAAAATGCCAGCTCCAAATTTCTACTATTGAAAGTGGTGGATGGTTTTGTTGATATGTGCATACTATCAATGAAAAAAACAAAGCATTTCATCAGATTTCCTGCTGCTAGAAGGGATGTGTGGTAAGGGCAGGCTAAAAGTGTGCTGCTCTTTCAACAGGGTTCATGAAGTTTTTGGACACCACTTCTATGATTTCAGTTGAAATGATTTGAAAGTGAGTTATTACTAGGTCTAAAATAGTATGACAAAGACTTGCAGAGGTTTTAAATAATCTTTTTATTTAATTTTGAACAACTTTTAATATAAAAGGAACAACTTGTGTTACAGACAAAAACCACTTCTCATGGCAATGTATGTTAAACAAAATAAATTTAAACATTGATAAAATAGTTTGAGACTGCACATACAATAACATAAGCTAAAATCTGGCTCAATCACTTTTACTGGTGAAGTTTAAAATCTGAGTATGAGAGAATGGAAAAGCCAAGGTAATCACTTTTGGATTGAGTGGCAAAATTCTAACAGTCTGCCATGAGTGCCAGAAACTCTGTATCTCTTAAATTCAAAAATCCCCAGCTTATATACTCTAAAAGCTAATTTGCATTCTGGTGAGCAGTACAGAAAGAAGTCATAGTAAAGATCATAGTAACTGGTTAATTAACATAAAGTATGTTAAATAGTTATATATTACTTCCAATTCATTCTTGGTTCTTTATAGGAAATATGTTAATTGATCTGCTAATATTTAGTAGTGTAATTGGTTTTGTGATTAACTATTTTAATTTATTACTTTTAATAGTATTTCATGTATTGCATTACTCTAAATACTGATGCAAGTAATTTAGTTATTATTAATGAACTTTGAAGAAAGACTTTTTTTTATTATAATAAAAACGGTTTTATGATACAAATATATAAATGTGTTAATGATACCACCTGTCATTCCTCTCCATTTTTCAAAATGAATAAAATTTACAGAAGTATACTTTTATTGCAATGGATTGTAATTGATTACTAACTTGATTTGGTAAACTAGGTATTGCCTCCTCTCCTACTTGACAGAAAAAGAAGACATTACAAGAGGAAACATTTATTTATGCCACAATGAATACAGTAACATATGTGTGCAAGATTTAAAGAAAAAAAAAAAAAAAAAAAATGTGTTAACCAAAAATTCCAGCTTTAATCCTGATAAGTCCCTTGAACCTCCATTTTAATTTGGTTATTTTCACTTTCTGTCAAAAACGTTGTAAGAGCTTATAATTTAATTTCTCTCAATTGTATTATTTCAAAATTAATAGCTATCATATGATTCTTACATAAAGCTATGATGCAGGTAACTTACATAAATCTTCAGCCTATAATATCTGGTTGTAACAAACATTTTTCACTAAAAATTGTTCTTAACTCTCTGGCTGCTCATCCCACGATTTCCACGGGCAACTCAAATGTAGCAAAATCTGCTCAGCCCAGGATTTCCACAGGCATGTGTTATTGAGGAGCGCATTCCCTTTTTTCCCCATTTAACCCATTGATATAAATTATATAGAGTATTAGACATTTAGTTTACGTTTTGGCCAACAGATATATCGTTAGTTGTCCGCTAAAATATGGCATTTGAAGGCACGTGGTATTACCGCTCAAACTTCACTTTTTTCCACTTTTTTCTTACAGAAATGGCTACTAGAAAATGTTCAGTGATTGACAGAGAGTATATTCCTGATGACTTATTCTGAAAGCGATTTTAGCTTTGATAGTGATATAGATTTTTCGGACTGCTCCTCAAATAGTCTCTGAAGTTGATTATTGAATCATGACTCTGATCATGATTCAATAATACTAAACTGCGTTTCTAAGGTATTTTTTCCTCAGTGCTTTAAATTTTATACATTTTACTTTTTTTTTATCTTATGCAAAAAATAGAAATGAACTGTAATTCAACTGAAATTTATTTAAAAAATTTTTTGGGGGGTGATAACATCTGAAATTGATCAACTTTGTTTCTCATGATAAAAATCTATATAAAAATATTTTCTAAAAAGAAAAATGCATTTTTCAATTCTCCAATATATATAAATTTAAAATATGCAAAATAAAAAATGCACAATTTTTTAAGCGATTTCGGTCCACAAATTGAACAGTCAGAGGGTTAATAAAGTTAGGAGGAAAAAAAAAAAAAAAAAAAAAACACAAATGCAGTACCTTTTAATGAGGTAGTAATCACCATCCAAACCTATGATTTTCTGCCAACATTTTGGTACTTTTTCAAAGCCTTTGCCCAGAAACTTGGTGGCTAAAAACAGACCAGTCTCATTTTGACTTTCTGTGCAAAATGGAAGATAGCACCAGCAAGATGTAGCTGCAGATGTGAAAAAAGGTAAATGTCTGAAGGAGCGATATCGGAGCTATATGGTGGGTGTGTCAAAAAATCCCATTCGAATTCGTACATCGTCCAACTGGTGAATACAGACACATGTGGTCTTACATTCTTGCATTATGTTGATGAAACATTATCTTTTTATGCTGGAACTCAGTTCAACATTTTCCCATGATAGCAGTGTCAACGCAGACTCACTGTACACCTTACTGTAGAGAGTTTTACCTTTTTCAGATACTCTTTGTGGAAAATACTACGGAAATCCCACCAGATACAAAGCATTGTCTTTTTGTTAGTCAAATTGAGCTGCTGGCGGGCTCACCGGATGTGGACCAAACCCTTTCCAGCCTGTGTCATTGCTGTAAATCCTTTTTTCATCACAAGTGATGATCTGGTCCAGAATTTTATTCTTGCATTGATAGTCAAGCAGATGAGTGCAGGCCTGTACATATCTGTCCTTATCTGCTTGAGACAGCTCATGTGGCACCCAGCGATTGAAGTTTATACGATACATAATGCGACTAATGGACATGGCACTAATGTCTAACTCCTTAGCAAGCTCTAGATAGAGTGATTGCATACTGATCTTCTTCCGCAAGTTCTCGCAGGGGGGCCTTATCAACATCAGTAGGCCGGCCAGAGCTCTCTGCTTCTTGAATGTCGTAATCCTTGTTTTTGAACTTTTGTTACCAAGCCTTCACAGTTCCATATGATAAAACATTAATACCTAATATTGTGCACATAATTTGGTGACATTCTGTAACTGACTTTTTGTAACAGAACTAGAAGTAAATGATAGTTCTAATCTGTTAGCAAGGTAGTTCGATTTTTTTTTTTTTTTTTTTTTTTTTTTTTACAAATATCACAATACAGCTGTCTAAAGCAAGTCTCATCTTTTCAAATGCCAAAAATCTTTTGACAAAATATGATTTAAACACAGAAATTTGAACTATTTGTGCAGACGGTATTTGCGGTGGCGGGAAACTTTGATTAAAACACTATATTTTTAGAAGCTTTATTAACTGGACAAGATAAAGCAAACTAAAACTAACTCATTATCAATCAAAACTCAAATTACTTTGAACAATTATCTTAGACATCTTGCATTTGCTCTCTGCTTCTCTTGCTAGCTAGATTTGTTGCTTGCTGCTTCATATGTATTTCAGAATTTTGTATTGCACCAATGTACTTCTTCAAGAATAGGCACATTTACTGTTCAACTTTATTATCCGTTTAGGTCAATTAAAGGACGTCATGACGTGAAACTTCTTTTTTATGCATCAAGGTCCATCACTGTTAATAATATTCTCTGCTGTGATATCAATTTCTAAATTGTCACAGTACATATATTTCATATTTCTTACATAAATAATAAACAGTTTTTTCAATGACTAGTAAAGAATCTATGATGTGCATTTAAAAGTTGTATTGTTCTTTTCGTGCAGCCAGTTTATATATCTATCATTATTAATGCAGAACTTAATATTATTTCAGAACCTGTTGCCATTCCAGTCACAATAGAAGCAGAAATTTTGGATGCTGATGAAAAAGATGATCAAAATATTGAAGTTTGTTGAAATTTTCTCATGTTCAAACACCACATATTCTTTTTGGTTACAAATATAACTTTTGTTAATAATTTTTTGATTTTGTGGTGTTTTTTAACTCGTATATATAATGTAGCATGTTAATTTGATTAGATTATCAAGGTGGGAAAGTACAGCTTTTTGTAGTACTATTTTTGATCTTTTCTTTTCCTTAGGCATCAAAAGGCAGAAAGCCCATGTGTGCCATATTTAATTAGCTACCGTATTTACGTGAATCTAATGCGCATCGTTTTTGGCCAAATGTAGTATTCAAAATTGGGGTGCTCATTAGATTCGAGTGCAAAGTTCGCCGATGACGTCAACCAAATTTAAATCTAACAATGGATTACTGTATTTCTCAACTACATTTACCGTTACATTTATTGTTGACACATTATTGCATAGAGGATACAAACTGCAGAGTACGTAGTCACGAAATGGAGGGCAAACAGAGAAGAATGTCATATGACGCTACTTTTAAACGTAAGGTAATTCTTTATGCTGAAAAAAATGGCAATAGAAAGGCAGGAAGAGAGTTCAACGTAGCTTAGAGCAATGTTCGCTAGTGGTGGCAACAGAAATTGGCACTGTTTGCAACTAAAGCTAGTAGAAAGAAATTCACTGGCCCTCACAAAGAAAGACACCCTAAAATTGAAGAAAACGTCTTGGAATTTGTACGAGAAAGGAGGAAGAATGGACAACCTGTGACTAGTGACACCATAAATAAAGCAAAAGAGGAGGCTGAAGTTCTTGGAATACCGAAACAAGTGTTTAAGGCTAGCCGTAGATGGGTGAATAGGTTTATGAAACGGATGGGTTTATCTCCAAGACGCCGTACAACAATATGCCAAAAGCTTCCTGCAGATTTTGAGGGAAAACTACTAACATTTCAGCGGTATGTCATCACACTTCGGAAGGAAAAGAATTTTTCAATGGGGCAAATTGGCAACGCTGACGAGACGGCCAATTTGGTTTGATATGCCTCGTAACTACACCATTACGGAGAAGGGGACTAAGGAAGTTATCATCAAAACTTCGGGATGTGAAAAACAACGCGTAACATTGATGCTGGCAATAACAGCAGACGGGTGCAAACTTCCCCCTTTCTTAATCTTCAAACGGAAAACATGCCCTAAAACCCCTAAGAATGAAAGGCTGTTCCCAGATGATGTCCTGATTCGAAACCAAGAGAATGGGTGGATGACGGAATCATTAATGCTTGATTGGCTCCGAAATGTGTGGAAGCGCCATCCTGGTGGGCTCTCTAATCCACCATCAATGCTTTGTCTGGACGCATTTCGTGGTCATCTCACCGACGACGTAAAAAAGAAGATGCACAGCCTAGGCAGTGATCTTGTTATCATTCCTGGAGGGATGACGTCTGTGTTACAACCCCTGGACGTTAGTATAAATAAACCTTTTAAGGGGTACGTTCAGGCAGAGTACGAAAAATGGTTTTGTGAGCCAAACCGTGTATTGACCACAACAGGAAAAATTAAGCATGCTGCACTGCGCATTGTTGCACACTGGGTTTCTGCTGCCTGGAAAAGCATCGAAGCACCAATGATTGTGAAATCTTTCAAGAAATGCTGCATTTCAAATTCATTGAATGGCAGTGACGATGACGTGCTCTGGAACGCCGAGGATGACGATGACGATGATGAGGAAAGAAGAAATTAATCTGCTTCTGACGAAGAGAGCTGCAAGGATTCCAGTGATGAAAACATTAGTGAATAAAGACATTTACTATTAATCACTGATTGTAGAAACTGTTAGCTAGATAGAAATGTTACAATTTATTTCATGTTCATATTTTACGATAGGTACCGTATATACAGTAGTGCTAATTAACAATGATTGTTTCACATGACAATAGCCCACTAATAGGTTAATTCTATGTTCTGCTACTTTATGTATAAATCCATTGTTGTATAAAATATGGTATCTAAATTTAAATAAAAATATCATACCATTAATTGATAGTTTATATACAAATCCATTGTTGTATAAAATAAGATTCAATAAATTCCTCATATCATTGATGCGCATTACATTCGCCGACAAACAATTTTTTTATTATTTAAAGTTTTAAAATGGGGATGCGCATTAGATTCGATGGCACATTAGATTCGCATAAATACGGTATTTTTTTCCCTCAAAATATAGAGTATAGTATTTTAAATGATAAACTGTAATTTTCAAAATATATAGTATTTCAAATGATAAACTGTAATTGATTTGTTTTGCAAAGTATTTTCTCTTTCTTTTCATTTATTTCCCCTCTTTTTATTTTTCTCTCTCCTTTTTTTAGGGGGGGGGAGGAGAAAGTTTCTTTCTTTTCTTTCTTTCTCTCTCTATATTTTTTAAAGAAAACTCTAAAGGGAAAAAATTTTTTTTGTTTCAGAGGCTAATATAGCAGCTAATTATACAGGGTGATTCTAAATTACTTTTACAAATTAAGAGGGGTGATAGTACTCATCCAGATGAGCAATATTTACTATAAAACATAGGTCGCATTCCACTCTGAGAGGTAGAAAAGAAGAATATTAGAATTCCAATCTGAACTTACAGCAGTGTTAGGAGAGCGAATGAATGAGACCAAATGTTGCACAACCAGTTTAGTGACAAACTCACAGAGATTGCACAAAACAGATAAAGCTGAAAACTTGGTGTTTGAGTGTTAATTCGAGCTCAGACTTTGATGGTAAACACTGAAATGCACATCTTTGGTTGGCAAGGTTTATAAAAATAATTTAGAATCACCCTGTATAAATCTTTCTTCAATCATGTATTTCCTTTACATGTAAAGTGATTTGCTGATTTTTAATTGTAAATCATTTTATTTTTTTCTGTATTTAAATTTATGTTGTCTAGCATTTGCAACATTTAAATCTGTTAAATGAAATTTTAAAATATAACTCTATTATATTCACATTTTTATTTCTGTAAATTATTTTATGTAGTGGGAATCTCAAGATGATGCCAAGATTGATGATGAATATGAAGCAGAAGTTATGGAAGAAGAACCCGTTGTTGATGAAGATTTAGATGAAGTTGAGCAAATGCAGGAAACAGATGTGGTGAGCTTTTAAATTTTGCATTTGATGAGAGTTAAATTATTTGTTCCGTTTTAATGAAGTTAAATGTGATTTTAAAAGTCAGGATCTTTTAAATTTGTGATATGTGTTGAAAAGCTTAATTTAGATTTATTTGATAAGAGTGGGTTTTCATTACTCATGATTTATTCATGCTGTCTAAATATATTAATGTAGAGATCACCAGATGATGAAGATATGACTGAAGATCAACAAGATGATGCTGAAGAGATGGCAGAGTCTACTCCTGCAGCACAAGATATTGGTATTTCTTATTTTTTCTTGAAAATATCGAGTAATATCATTTTAATAAATCAGTACAGTTTTGTTGACTAATGTTTTGTAATAAAGTAGAAGGGTCTTCACAGCTCTGGTAGGTTAATGCAAAAGCTTTCTGCAAATGTAAAATAGTAATTCATTCTGATTTTTATGATTCATTTTACTCATATTTGTTTAGAGTTTTCTGAAACCCTATCCAAAAATCAACAACATGACATACAGAGAATGAGACTACAATAAACACAGTTATCGTCATAAGTATTAACAGTAAAATTGTTAGAATATAGAAGAGATAATGGGAATGTGATGAGAGAGAATCAGTTTTTATCTCCTGCATTTTGCAACTTGCTTTCTTTATCTTATATGTGTGTAGAATGTAGTATTTACAAGTTCTTAAATTATATTCTCATATTCTTCGAAATTTTAGCATACGGCTCACAGTTCCCTCCTCCCACTGTTTCGGAACTTTATACTGTAGGACAATTATTTTAATAAATAAGGGAGGTAACTATGTTTTTAAACTTAAGTATAAAAGAGTAACTTCATATTTAGAGCATAGTTTGAATATTTATATGTGACACAATTCAAATAATCTGTAATAGTTCAGCAAAGCTTTAATGTATGCTGATATTTTGGGTAAATAAACAAAAATTTAGATTCCTGAAAATTCAGAAGCAGATTTATCAGACATTTTTAAGTAAATATTGTAACACAAAATACACTGTTTTATGATACAATTTGGTTGAGGTGTCATTTGACACATTTATATTTTGGTTGAGGAAAGAAATTAATTTTATTATTGAAATTATCTAGCATTTTCTGTGCATGTTTTATCAGTATTCTCTTTCTCTGTTATATATATATATATATATGTAAGATTAAAACAGGTGAATACCAATTTTAATTTATAGTAGGTCCGTAAATCTCCAATTTAATTCGATTAATTATCCTTTCCATTCTAAAAACTGATTTGATTAAAATTCCATTCTATAAACTAATTTATAGTACATCCATAGGTTTCCAATTGAATTTGGTTAATTCTCCTTTCCTTTTTCTAAACTGCATCATTTCAAAATTAATGCTTCTCACCATTCTTACATAACACCAATGCCAATCATAATGTTACGGATTTGGTATTTAAATATCTAATGTTAGTAGACTTATAACTTGATTTGTTTTATTCCCCGTGCAGTGCAGCACGTGACGATTATTAAAGGAAAGCTAAGCCGGAAAATTAAAAATACAAGAACACATGTATTTAACATTTAATAAATAAATCGTAATCGCACGCTTCTTGCTTTTCGGGAAAATTCGAGAAGAATACCAGAATATGCTCGTGTGTGAATTTAAAAAGCTTATAAAAAGGAGGAAAGCCTCTCAATTTAGTTAGTTAGTTGTCGTGTTAAGTTTGTTTAGAAAACTGCTCTTGTTGACTGTAGCAAATTCGCGTATTAGCTCTCTCAGGGTTCGTAGCGGTCCTTACAAGTGCTTATAAGTCCTTATATTTGAAAATAAAATATAAAGGCCCTTATAGGTGCTTACTTTTTCTTTAAAGCCGTTATTTTTTTGTTTGCTTTTAGTGCTTTTTTTAATGAACGTGCATTCCCCCCCTTCCCCCCGGTACCAAAGCCAAAACTAAATAAACAACTTTTCTTCCTTATATGGAACGTCAGATGGTGAATCATACTTCCGGAAATAGCTTTTCCCCCTTTCTCTGCATTAACGTAACCTATGGTGCGCGCGAGAGTACAGACAGGGACACGTCGTTCTATTGGTCAAAGAATTGCGAAAACCGTAGAAAATTCCGGTACATTCGGTATTCTTTTTCCTCCCACCCAAATACTACACACGTTTGAATTTCTATCAAGATTTTAATAATTTACATTCTCGTTCCTCGTGGTCAGTTCATATTCATGTTTTATTATGATCGTTATGCTTATATTATGAGCATATGTATGAATATTTATAATAATATAGAAGCAGTAGCTGCTGAAGTGTAGATAAACTTCCAAAAATGGGTTTATTTTCACACAGATTAGCTTTCAAAGGAATAATATTCAGAGTGGCTTAAATAAAAGGAGAGTAATCGGACAGCTGTTAATTCCAATTGCGTAATATCACGTATGGAAGAATTACGCCGCACATATTGCGCAATAACGTTTGCGGTATTTTGAAGAGATAATTAATTTTGATGTTCAGTCTGAGATTTATTTATGAACACTTAAAAGAGTTTTACTGTTCTTTCTAAGCAAGAATATTTCTCAGTTCTGTTGGTCTATTTTTATATGATGCACATATCGAAATGTCAAAATCATTTATTTAGCCGAAAAATCTAAAGAACGGCTACAATCTCCCCACCCCCTCTTTTTCCAGTTACGCTCGACTATACGGAATATTCGGCATTTCCGAGTATGCGGGTTAGTTAAGCTTTTACTATTAAAGGATGACTGCATGAAGCAATTTCCCGTCTCCTGATTTCAGAAATGTTACTCTTTTTTACTTAAATTACTTTGCTTGGAATATATGTTAAGGGAAACTGTTATGCAATGAAAATTTAGAAACTGTTCAGAATTTTGATTTCAGTTAAATTATTAAATAAATGCTGTGCTTTAGAGAGAAGTGTTTAAAAGACTACAGCAGGCTTCAATTAAAATCCTGTCAACAGAAGGCCATGGAAACACTTCAGGAGCACACTGCTGATGTTGAAATGCTATTCCATCTCACCTTTTCGGAGTGCCCGACAGAAACAAGGAAAAATCCTGTCTCTACAATACTTCATCAACAGCATCTGGGTTCCTGATACACAGAAAGCTCTGTGAATGGAAGATATGAAGGACATAAAAAGTGCTCTGTTGTACGCCGTGAAGTTCGAGGCAGCTCAGCAAGCAACTCGTAAAGATCGCTCACTACCCAGTCAGAGCTGTGCGAGCCAGTGGATCAATTGATGTCTTGTTTAGATGCCACGAGCCAGTGGATCAATTGATGTCTTGTTTAGATGATTTAGCCAGAGAAGTGAATGCTTTGATACGGAGTGAAAACAAAGTGGCTCTAAGATGTTGGAAATGTGGTATTGAAGATCACATACAACGGCGTTGCAGAACACCCCACGGCATAGATAACAAAGCACATGATTTGATAAGACCAGTGAATGCCTTGAGACGTAATATCTTTGAGAATAAACTAACCCTAAAGTGCTGGAACTGCAGTGTTGAAGGCCACATACGAAGGAACTGCAGAACACCCCAGAGCACAGAAAATAAGAGAGGTGAGTTAAACAGACAATTAAATGCCATGGGACGGAAAAGGATGGACAAGGAACCAAAGTGCTGGAACTATGGAGCTGAAAGCCACATACAAAAGAATTGCAGAACACCCCAGGGTATGGAAATTGAGACCATTTCTCAGCAATGACTCAGGAAACAAATTAATGACCGTATATGAGGAATGGAGGTTGCCAGATAATGAAAAACCTTGTTTTAAAGCACTCAAGATTTCTACAGTGAGTGGAAACAGTAACGGACTGTCAATCAATGGGCATATCGATGTAGTTCCTTGCAATATGATCATTGACACAGGATCTAATGTTACCATCATTCAGAGAGATTTAGCTCAACAGTTTAAAGATGAACTTATTTGGATGCCATCCTGTGTTACCCTTCAGACTGCATCTGATGATAAGATCGACATAGTTGGGAAGTTAAACGTGAACATCACGTTTGGAAGTGCCGCCTACCATCACACGACTTATGTGGTGGATATTACATATCTATGCATACTCGGATTGGACTTTTTAAGGAAATACAATTTTTCCTTAGACTTTCAAAAACAATAAACTGTTCTCAGCATCTGATGGACATGACTATCCATCCTTCAAAAGGAATCATCACCTGGAAATGCCGACGTCTCATGTGCGAAAGACCCTAGCTCAGGAAAGCTGTCAAAAATCATACTAGGGTTCAGAAATGAAACACAAAGACTACCAGGCTATTCTCCATCTCCAAATGCTCTTCAATCGAGACCTTCGTCTGCCTTGTGACCGCCTGTTTGGTCGCCCTATGGATGCGCCTTCATCGCCTGAGGAATACATCCAAGATGTCCAGGCCTGGTTTGAAGTGATGCACCATTCTGCATGAAAGCGAGTCAACTTGGAGACGGAAAAGATGAAGACCTGATATGACACGAGGGCTACTGAACATCAATTCCGCGGAGGAGACAAGGTGTGGTTGTGGAATCCGACTCGACGGAAAAGACTCTGTCCGAAATTACAGTCAACTTGGGATGGTCCGTACACAGTCCTAAACAGGCTGAATGACGTCGTGGTTCGGATCCGTAAGTCTTCGAACTCTAAACCTAAAGTTGTTCATTACGACCATAGTATGTAGTGTAAATAATTATAAATAGTGTAAGACCATGGTCTGTTTTGTTTCTAAATGTGTATTTGATTTGACTTGTATTTAGTGTTTGATAGCATTTGATTTGTTTATAGTTAGTTATTGCATTTATTGTTCATGTTGTTTGTTATTGTAATGTAATGCTTGTTATTGCATTTATGCCTTAGTTGTAAGTTTGGCTTCCTGTCCAGGGATTGTACTGCCCGGGATGTGCAGTCCTTGCAAAGGGGGCCAGTGTTACGGATTTGGTGTTTGAATAGCTAATGTTAGTAGACTTATAACTTAAATTGTTTTATTCCCCATGCAGTGCAGCACGTGACGAATATTAAAGGAAAGCTAAGCCGTAAAATTAGAAATACAAGAGCATGTGCGTTTAACATTTAATAAATAAATAAATAAATATCTCTTTTTGATTTCGAGAAAATTCTCGCGCGCTATTTAAAAGCTTATAAAAAGAAGGAAAGCCTCTCAATGCAGTTAGTTAGTTAGTTGTTGTTTTAAGTTTGTTTAGAAAACTGCTCTTTTTGACTGTAGCAAATTCTCAGATTAGCTTTCTCTAGCTGTTTCGAGTTAAGTTCTCTTGAACGTTTGAGTA